CACAGGAAAAAATATTAACTTTCTTAGAATTCTTTTTTTCCTATATCACCATATTTTTTGTTTCCAGGTGGTATTTTTTGTAAACTCTTCTACCTATTATTAGACTATAAAGTTATATATGTATGTAACGTACCAATTTATATATATTTTATAATTTCCGTTGAAATTCTTAATTATTTTAGATATTTATATTTTATCTTACGTTTTTCTTGTATTAAAAAGGTTTTATTAAAAATATTTCTTAAAAAAATTAATTCGCTGTACCTATTTCTACCTATAATTTATATTTCTCCCATCCTCTCTCTCATCTTGCACCCCCCTAGCCCATTGGCTGGCGACGCCCTCGTGTGCACGTGGTTTTTGTCTAGATTTATTTTCCTGGGTATTAAATTTTGTAATTTTTGTTGACGTTTCTCGTTTTGTTAAATTTCTCTGGTCCTATATGCTCCAGTACAATATGAAATGTATATAACTTATATTGAAAACTTATCAACTTATTTTTAATTTGTAAAAATTTTTGTATTTTCGCAGAACACAAATATTTACATGGGACTTTAAATAAATTGCCTTAAATATTCAATTGTGCAATTTTCAACGCTTTTGGCGTAATTGAATATTATTTTCCAAATAATTCATATTTTCTTTTTAAAGTTTAGTTTAAATATTGTTGAAGAAAATTCTCCAGTTTCCACAAGAAAAATTGGCTTCTCAAAGCCGACAAGGTAATGTGTCATAGTCTATAGCATTGCGAATGACAGGATATTACTTTGTGGGGTTTCACATTATGCCACGAAGATTATCTCAGTTCTTTTTTTAACAATTTAAACAACCTATTAATGAAGTTCCATTAGAAAAGGCAAAATATGTGGTTTATGTACGATTGTTCCCTAACACACTACTCTTTGATTGTACACCATCAAAATATTCCCAGAATCTGCACAGGTCGTGGCCAAAATTCACCAATTACTTGGCCACCACGCTCTCCTGATCTTAATCTTTGCGATATTTACCTTTAGAGTCACCTTAAAGGCCTAGTTTATTCTGCTCCAGCAAATAATTTGGAAAACCTCGAAATTTGGCTCAAACAATATACAGGGTGTCATAGAATAACGTGTACAACGGAAGACCACATATTCCTGAATTCAAAATAGGCAGGCAGATGGACACAAAGTTCGTGAAAATTTTTTGAATTTTGTAAATAACACTGAAATTACAGTCAACCTACAAAACCAGAGCCTACTAGTAGCACTTTGTTAAGTATTGTAATTGGGGTGGCAAGTTGTAGGTACACATTAAAAAAAATTTTTTTTGTATCCAAACGGCTCATTTAATCAAAATTCTACAAGCGACCCAAAAACTTCCAAATGGTATCACCATACATCAATTTTGTAGGAGTTGTAAGTTTTAAAAAATACTGTATAACACCAAAATATGTAGATTGAAAGCTAAAGTCCACACCCCAAAAATAATCAAAATAGAATAATATTTAATGGAGTTATTTACAAAATTTAAGAACTTTGAGGCCATCTAGCGGCATAGCGAAGCGTTTTGGGATACAGGTGAATCTAAATCTGCCTATTTTGAGTCCACGAATCTGTGGTCTTCCATTGTACACGTTATTCTGGGACACCCTGTATTTTGACCTCTAGTTTTCACCTATAAGTTTTTAAGATTGTTTAAAATATTCTTAATGAAATACCCTGTATAAATTATCAGGAAACGTCATTATGTAATGTTATTCAGTAGATTTATCGTATAATTACAACTATAGGATTATTTTTAATGAAAAAATAAAACATTTCTCAAATTGACTTAATTTTTGGGGATAAAGGAAATCTTTCAACTTCTATTTTTTAGGTGGCTGGACTAGCCCGAAGAAAAGATCGCCTGGAAGCTTTAGCTCAAAAACTTTCCAACAAAAAGGGCAAATTTTACCCCCTTAAGTCAGACTTAACAAAAGAAGAATACATTTTAAACACTTTCAAGTGGATCAAGGAGAACTTAGGCACGATTCATATTCTCGTGAACAACGCTGGCTATCTCGGAAAAACCACTCTAATTGACGGAGACAGCGATGTTTGGAGGAACACATTTGAAGTTAACGTCCTGGGTTTGTGTATAGCTACGAGGGAAGCCATAAGGGATATGAGAGCCAACGACATTGACGGGCACATAATCCACATCAACAGCATCGTGGGGCATCAAGTGATAAATTTTCGAGAATTTAACGTGTACATTTCGAGTAAACATGCAGTGACAGCCCTAGCAGAAACGCTGAGGTTGGAACTGGTAGAATTGAAGTCGAAAATTAAAATTACGGTAAAATTGCCAATACGTCCAGTAATATTTAAACAATTAGATGGATAGCTGTAAATTAACCGCGATAGATTATGTATATCCAATTCGTAAAATATTTGGAACGGTCCATGACATTATAGAGAATCTCTGTGACGTCACACCACTAGACAGGTTCGATCCCACGACTCAATATCGACGCGTTACTACGAAAACATACATACCTAATACGGACTCTAAGGAGACTCGGTAGCCGCTTGCTTGCGTAGACTTTGGAAATTTAATGCAGGTATGCGACACTTTTATTACCGGTACTTTATGATCTGCTGGATATCGATGCGACGGACGGAGAGCAGATGATATGCATGTGCACGTTTTCGCGGTTCCCCTAGTACACATGTTTATCGTACATATCATTCAACTTTATACATTATATTTATATTCTGGTTATTACGTTAACTCTATTAATGAAATTTTATGAATAAATGATGTTTTTCTACAAATTGTTGCATCTTGTTCTTATTTGAAAAGCAACGATTGTAAAAACCGTATTTCACAAAAAAAAAAGTGAAAAATTTTTGATATTTTTAATTATGCATTTAAAAATACAAAGCTGTGTGTAAAAATCAAGACTTCGTTTGAATGCAAATTAAGAACAATTGCCAAGACAATCCAGGTATAGCTGCTCTACACGGGCATATTGTCCAGATAACGATTCGGACCCCGGATTTTAACTTTACAAAAAAATCGATATTTTATTAAAATTTGTAACGTTTCCTTTTTAATTGGGCTTGATGTTTATATCTGTTTAGTTTTGTCTGCTTCCATAACTAGAGATATCTGTGATGTATGTGAAACAAAGTCAAGTATGCTTAGACGTTAACGAGTGGTATGACGTCACAGGATGGCTTCCTTGCGTTTTCCCGCGTTCCATTTTATTTATTTTGAGGCAGAAATTGTTGAAAAAATTCTGATCCTTTGCGCTTTAACTAAGTACTTTCTGAATATGCATTGAAAAAATAGGTTAAATGATCTCATTCCACCATTATTAATTAAAAGAAGATATCATTTCACACGAGCTGTCAAAAATAGTGTAATGACTTCGAAAGCGATAATACTCATGTGAAAGTAAAGAGAATGAACAAACCTTAACACTGTCGTAAGGGTAAGTTAAGAAATAGTTAAGAAAATGTATTTTTATTGAAATTTTTCAAACCAATATTAAAATTTACATAAAATTCGATGGTTTTGAATTAATAACATAGAATTCGGAACTTCTATAACTTATTTTTGAAAGTAAATCCATCATAACTTCTGTTGTTTTTTAAAGAATAAGTATGAGAAGCTTTCAAATTAGTTGTACCTACTATTTTTAACACCCTGTACAATTATAAAAATCTGTCATGCACAGGTTCACATTTTTTTATATGACATATATTTACATTAACTATCAGTGATTTATCTAATGATACCCTAAGGATATGGTAAATACGTTTTTTGTGGTCTTTAATTGACTTATCGTATAATTCTTGGTTACTTATTCCTTGAAGGATTAGTTTTGGGATATAGATTAAAATTTGTGTCACTTGTTTAATTTACAAAAGGAGTATATAATACCATCATAACATAGGTACCTTAAAGGGGGTGCTTTTTTCTTATTTTAACGAATGCAAACGAAACAGAGATTAAGAATTATAACAACTAAAATTTTTACACTTCCTGTTTGAAATTCAAGATTATTTTTCAGAGTATCAGTCCGGGACTTGTGGATACCGAAATTTTACCAAATTATATAACGAAGCACAAGAACCTTATTGAAGAAAAACAAATAATCGAACCAGAGAATATCGCTGATGCGGTTGTTTACGCATTGTCGACTTCTCCGCATGTGCAGGTAAGTTTTGTTCAGATTTTACTACACTGGCAAAACGAAATAATTGCTAGTAAAATCGCATTCTAAAAATCCCTTGTACCTCAAGTTTTATGCCAACATTCAAATTTGTGTGGAAATTATCCTTAACAAATAAAAAAAAATAACAAACTTTAACATCCTGTATATCGAAAACTAAGCGTTTGTCGACCCACGTTTATATTATATAAAAGTCTTATTTTGACCTCAAAAATACGCCCCTAAATTCTTTGTACTGAATTTTTAATCACCCTGTATATGATTTTTTGCGTTTTTTGACCAAAAAAGGCCAATACCTCAATGAAGATGCATTTTTTCGAAAATCAAGTTCATCAAAATAAAATTTCCTACAAAATTACTCCGATGAAAAATTTCGATTTTCCCAATAACTTGTCTGGTGTATTTTTTAAATGAAGTATAGATTATGTGAAAATTAATGTTTTGGAGCTAAAATAATGGTCAATTCATTTTTAAATAACAAAATTGGATTAGAGATAAGAAAATTACGGAAAATTTTGGAAAAGTTTTCAGGGTTTGAATATTTATGAGCATCAAATGTATCATTTCATAGGTTTTCAACGGTGTACAAGTACGAATTAATTAAGCGCTTTTTAATATTTTTCAGAAAAATCTGTTTTCTTTGAAATAATCGGCACGTATTTTAATTTGCAAACATCTTGTGAAAAGGATGGTATTTTGTATTTCCGTAATACTGACTATTAAAAAGTATGTAAAATTAATTTTCTTTACTGAAAGATATAAACACATGTATGAGTCACTATGTCCTAGAAAACATGGAAGAATATATATGATACTTTAATATAATGGCTTTTAGTAATAAAGATTATTGAAAAAGTAAAGTATGTACTATTAATATGTGTATTAAGCAAAATACTCCACTTAATTCCTTATACAATTACCGACATAGCTTATTAATTATAATTGTAGTTTAATTTAATAATATAAATTATTTAAGATAATTAAAATTAATAAAGAACACCTAATGAAATTAATATTAATTATACATTAATTAAAAAAAATTAAAAAATCGATGTAATTTCGAAACTATTTCAACACGCTGCAGTTATAGATAACAATTATACAATATTGGAAACTTAAACTTAAATATTTTTATTATTTATATTGCAAAAGGTGACGTATATAAGATTATTGAAAATTATGGTTTATATGGAATTACAAAGTGAACTTCTACAATTAATTTCGTACATATAAAAATGAAAATAAAGAAAACGAATACGGTCCTCACTTAAAACTGAGTATTTTTGTATATTTCATTACAATCGAAAAATGTGTCAGCTGTGTTGCAGAGAAAAAAGATGGAATTAAATATGTCAACTCGTTTTTTTTGTTGTTTTTTGTTCGTTGTTCACCCTTGAAAAAAGCCAGATGTCATAATATAAAGCTATTGTTGTTAAGCTAACTCTAAATAGTTCTCGTATTAAACGTTTAAAATATTTTGTCTTTCTAGAAAACAATCTTAAGGGGGTCGTTTTTATGCGTAGTCTTCAGTGAATTTATAGTAGACCTTTGATAAAACTTTTAAAAATTCTGATTAAGTTAGAAACAATATCTCTTTACTGTACCAGTTGCATATGTTTTCTCCAAGGTATAAGACATTTCACAAGCTGACAATCTATTCAGAATAGATGAAAAACATATTTTTATTTCTTTTGTTTATCGTTAGATTCCCTGAAGAATACGAGTTTTTAAATATTTAAAACTTGTAATTTATTATTATTAACAACTTTGATATTTAAAAAAATTTTAAATAATCTACATTTTTTATTCTAATTTTGATTTCTTTGTTTCAGATTCAAGAACTTACCGTAAGGTCCGTTGATGAATCCTTTATAAACAGCAACTAATTAGTAAAATACTGAAAATATTTTACTTATTGTTGGCTTAAAATTAAAAATTTCCGCCATTTCTTCATCTTATGTAGCTTATGTCTTTTATTTACCTATAACCAGCTAGAAGATTTTATTTTATTATAACAAAACGACGACTAAACTAAATTTTTATAACCTTAGCTGGGGTTAATGCATAGACTTAAAGAATTGAGCTTGCTGCAATGCGATAACATGGCAGTGGTAGTTACTAAGGTGCAGTACCGTAAATGGAAAAAATAAAACCTCGAAACGATAACAGTTCATTTAATTTACAATTTATCCTACGTGACTGCTGTAGAATGTCCTGACTAGTGGCACGAAGAGGAGCAAGAAGTTGGGTAGTTCCGAATCAATTCCCGTGGTAGCTAACAGAAAAGCGTCCAATAATTCTTCTCGTGACAGTAGCAGGGCCAGGGATCAACGTCCAATAGACCTTTTTAGTAGTTACGTCACATACGCCAAATAGTGCACCTTGTCATGAAGAATTTCTCAATATTTTTACTAGATCGATTTTCGACCTTATGTACTTTGGACATAAGTACCAAAAAAATGTCTTCCTTGTCATGACATTTAAATTTATAGAACAATATTGAGTTTTATATTAATTAATAAATTAAAATTATATCAATGTTACTGAGCATACGCATTAAACATAATTTCATGTAAGCGAAGTAGCCTCGCAACAAGATATCATTCAAGAAAATTTGGTATTGGTTAAGAGTACGTCTTTAATAAACCACTTGAAGAAAGAAAATACTCGCTAAACACACTGACACAGCACAACACCTTGAAAAATAATAAAAATACCAAGATTAAGGAAGTATATCGGGGTCCGAGGGAAGTGAGGAGCGCAGGAGGAGGTCCTATGCTTTTCTTATGGGACTAAATCCTGCTGCCAATTTGAAGAAATTAAATTCTATTGAAATTATTTGCGATAAACATTATCTATATAGCAAAGAAATCTACTCATATGCACATAGCATACATATTGACTAATTAACAAACATAAAAATATCATATTTAAGTCGTTTTATATCATATTTAATGAACGCATAAAGACTATGTAGATGTGGCAACCGCGTTAATAATTGACTCGCAGTTGTACACACTGCGAACCACCTCGGACATCGGAGATATTGCNCTTTTATATCGTTTCTTGTAAGTTTTAAGCATATTAGTGTATCTATTTTATCAAACACGTGTGTTTGTTCTTAAGAACATCCAAATCCTTGTAAAAAGAAATTAATTTGAAGTTGCTCATTTTTATAGTATCTATGTAAATAGTACACAAGGGTCAGATTCGGTTTGTACAATTTCAACTATGACAGTTTGTTGCGAGTTCCCTAAATATGTGACGTCACACTAAAATAGTCTATTTCATGGTTCTTAGAACTGAGTGAAGTACAGGAAACAGAACCAAAAGTCATCTCCAAAAAAAAAAAAAAAACCTTGGAAGCAAATAAATTAAGTTTGTCCCTTTGGAAGTCGTAGTAAAAAAATACACAGAAAATGAAAGAAACATGTGAAAAGCTAGGACTGCTCGTCATGCATACTTTCGATGAAGGATTTTTCTCTGATGTAAATACAAGAATACTGACTTGGTGGAGTAACACTGCACCATACAAATACGAATCCCTAGGAGTAGGAGCAACTTTCCGATAAAAATATACAATTACTATTAATCGGCATTTCAAACTATTGAAAAAATCACTAATAAAAATAGAGACGGTTCGCGATTAAGAATCTAAAACAGAGAAACTGCTTTGTACACAACATCTGTCATCAGTAAACCAGAAAAATTTCAAAGGAAAAGAAATATTCGAAAACTTGACCTTTCATGTCACTTGATTTTGGTTTTAATTCAAATTTTACTGTGGTTAGTAGTTAATGAAAAGAAGGTATCAATACGATCATTTTCTCTACTACAAATTTTAATAAAAATCCAAATGCCAGTGAAGATTTATTCTCTTTTGAAGTCCGTATAAGCCTAACATTTTAAGATTAAATATGTTCTAAATTTTAGTGAATATTTTTAAGAAATTAATTTTTGTACGCATATTCAATAAATTTCGTTTTGACCACTGAAAATTTATCGATATCGGCGGCACTTTGAAGTATTAATAAATAGATGACGAAAAAATAGATCTTGTGGCTTATCATTCACAGGCAATTGAATTTTTAAAAAATGATATGACTTATTGATGAAATCGATAACAATATTTGACATAATTTTAATCTATTGGCGATAAAATATCTAAAATTATCACATTTAAAACAAAGGAACTCCTACACTGAAAAATTGCCGAATCATCATAGTTAAAGTAATATCTATTCTTGCGTTATTCAACATTGTGTAATCGATATATGAGGACTAAAATATAAAAAAATGCATTTTTTTATTTAATAAAGTACTATAAAACTATAAGAATTACCAGTGTATAATTTCTATACGCAACAGAAATACAAATATATTTTTCAAAACGAATAGGAGAATCAGCGATGAAAATAGATGTCCGAACTTATTTCTCTAGTTTTTGTATCGGACCTTACAAAGAACTGTGCAGCCTTCTCATCACATTCTTTGATTTTACAAAATGATCCCGTTAAGATTTGGTGCTAAATGCTATGAGATGCACATCTAAAGATTTACAATATATATATTCATCTGCAGCTTGAGCTTGGTGTAACTATATGATACCCTTTTCTAAAGCATGATATTCTGTAGTTAGAAGATACAAAAAACGTGCTATTAAGCCATGAGTCCTTATGAATACGACTTAAAATTCTCAATCCGTAGTCTCTGGAGGATAGGAGAATAAGTGATGATTTCATAGTGGCATATAAGGTTCTCCACTGCTCAGATGAAATATTCGTCCGCAATAGGAGATCATAATTTAAAATTAAAGAAGGAACATTTTCACAAGCGTACAAAACAGTATTTCTTCGATCCATTTCTTCAAATCTGCAGTTGATTTTGTGCAACAGAGCTACCTCTGACCACAAGAATCTTAGGAAAATTGACACTTATATTTGATTTGTCCTCGTATACAAAAAGATAATTTTCCCACTCCGCAAACTTGAAATAAATAGTCGGCAACAAAATCAAGCAATCAGTTTATCAGAACTTCGATTACAGATTCACGATGGTACTCTCTATGGAACGTTGGGTTGGCAATGTGGCCGTAGTCACTGGTGCTAGCGTCGGTATTGGAGCTGCAATTGCCGAGGCTTTGGTGGAACAAGGGCTTATAGTAAGTAAAGTATATTTTATGATTTTTACGAAATACAAAAACTTAATTCTATTGCGTTGTTACCAAACATATTAATTTTTATTTTGAAAGGGACGTATATGTATTCCAAATATATTCCGTTTACTCCTAAATTTGTCAAAATACGATAATTTTATGAGGTTAATTTTTTGTATCCTTTTAACGAGGTATTTGTATATATATCAAAATGTTATATGCGTCGATGCTTCACAAAAGGAGGTGACTCCCTCATACCTACGGCATTGGTAAATAAAACACAGGTGTATTTTCCTGTCAAATTTTGTGGAGACATGATCACACGTCTTCAAATATTGAAGAGGAATTACAGTTTTTTTATGGTCCATATCTCGAAAACGGTATTTTTATCTGAGGAATATCCATTTAAGGTTTATGAATTTCCTTCTAGGTACCCTGTATTGGAAAATACAAATAGACAAACATATTTTTATTAATAGTCCAGGCGGTAGAGCAGTAAAAGTAGGCTCTGGCATTTGTGTTTTGTTGTACAGAAAAATCCCAAATATTATGTACAATAAGAATCCGAATTTGCCTATTTCAAAAATCCATTGCTAAATTCAGGGGAACGACAAACATACAANAGTCTCTGGAGGATAGGAGAATAAGTGATGATTTCATAGTGGCATATAAGGTTCTCCACTGCTCGGATGAAATATTCGTCCGCAATAGGAGATCATAATTTAAAATTAAAGAAGGAACATTTTCACAAGCGTACAAAACAGTATTTCTTCGATCCATTTCTTCAAATCTGCAGTTGATTTTGTGCAACAGAGCTACCTCTGACCACAAGAATCTTAGGAAAATTGACACTTATATTTGATTTGTCCTCGTATACAAAAAGATAATTTTCCCACTCCGCAAACTTGAAATAAATAGTCGGCAACAAAATCAAGCAATCAGTTTATCAGAACTTCGATTACAGATTCACGATGGTACTCTCTATGGAACGTTGGGTTGGCAATGTGGCCGTAGTCACTGGTGCTAGCGTCGGTATTGGAGCTGCAATTGCCGAGGCTTTGGTGGAACAAGGGCTTATAGTAAGTAAAGTATATTTTATGATTTTTACGAAATACAAAAACTTAATTCTATTGCGTTGTTACCAAACATATTAATTTTTATTTTGAAAGGGACGTATATGTATTCCAAATATATTCCGTTTACTCCTAAATTTGTCAAAATACGATAATTTTATGAGGTTAATTTTTTGTATCCTTTTAACGAGGTATTTGTATATATATCAAAATGTTATATGCGTCGATGCTTCACAAAAGGAGGTGACTCCCTCATACCTACGGCATTGGTAAATAAAACACAGGTGTATTTTCCTGTCAAATTTTGTGGAGACATGATCACACGTCTTCAAATATTGAAGAGGAATTACAGTTTTTTTATGGTCCATATCTCGAAAACGGTATTTTTATCTGAGGAATATCCATTTAAGGTTTATGAATTTCCTTCTAGGTACCCTGTATTGGAAAATTCAAATAGACAAACATATTTTTATTAATAGTCCAGGCGGTAGAGCAGTAAAAGTAGGCTCTGGCATTTGTGTTTTGTTGTACAGAAAAATCCCAAATATTATGTACAATAAGAATCCGAATTTGCCTATTTCAAAAATCCATTGCTAAATTCAGGGGAACGACAAACATACAAAAACAACGAAAAATGGCCCGTTTTTCGACATATTTTTCCCTGTAACATTGAAAGTAAGCCCTAAATAAAAAAGTCATTCTTTATTTTTTGTTTATTTGAGGATTTTCTGTAATGGTACAACAACTGGAATAAAAAAAGGTGAATTTTGCCTTGACAATGGGCGAAAAATGGTAGAAAATCATATAAGTATACAGGGTGATAGATTAACGGTACGCAGCGGCTGTATATAGGAAACTAGACGTGCTACGATTATGGGGTAATAAATCTATTAACAAATACGACCAAAAGAAATTGATTTAAAATATTTTCAAGTTTGTAACTTAACCGCTAGGGGGCGCAACTGCTATAGTGTTACAGAAAACTGTCGGTTTTTCGAAATTTCGCTTTATATAACCTAAGTTGCAAATACATTTTTTAGAGACACTGTTAAACCCTTCACTAGTTTTGTTTGAACTTTTTTTTGTTATTACCATAGCAACGTTAGTATGAAGGGCGCTATCTTAAATTTTTTTTTAAAGAACTATTAATAAAATTTATATTTATGAGATAGGAAAAAAAATATTATCATAATAAAGCAATAATTCTTTTTAAAATAACGGAGGATGTTCTAGCACAACCTCACTATTTTAGCAATAACTTGAAAACGAAAAAAGATATCGACCTCCGATTTGTGTATTCGTTTTCCATAATGAATGGTGTATTAAGCCATGAAAAAAAAACCTATATCGTTGCATTTAATTTTTTTAGTAAACGGAAACAATTACAAAACTTTTCTCATTAGCGTCGTCTATACCGTTGTGCAGGAAAATAATATTTTTATTCCTATATCATAAATATAAATTTTATTAATAGTTCTTTAAAATGAGCCATCGTTTATTGAAATCGATTACCTAAGGCATTTAGAAGTTATGACAATTTAAAAATTTCAAGATAGCGTCCTTCATACTGACGCTATGGAAAAGTTCAAACAAAATTTGTGAAGATTTTAACAGTGTATTTAAAAAATGTATTTGCAACTTAGGTTATATAAGCGAAATTTTGAAAGACCGAAAATTTTCTATAACACCATAGCAGTTGCGCCCCCTAGCGGTGAAGTTACAAACTTGAAAATATTTTAAATCAATTTCTTTTGGTCGTATTTGTTGATAGATTTTTTACCCCATAATCGTAGCACGTCTAGTTTCCTATATACAGCCGCTCGATACCGTTAATGGATCACCCTGTATATATTTGGAGCAATTTTTAAAATAAGTCAAGATTTATAAATATTGATGAAACTTTGGGAACAAATAGTAAAACATATGTCAATTATANAGATATCGACCTCCGATTTGTGTATTCGTTTTCCATAATGAATGGTCTATTAAGCCATGAAAAAAAACCTATATCGTTGCATTTAATTTTTTTAGTAAACGGAAACAATTACAAAACTTTTCTCATTAGCGTCGTCTATACCGTTGTGCAGGAAAATAATATTTTTATTCCTATATCATAAATATAAATTTTATTAATAGTTCTTTAAAATGAGCCATCGTTTATTGAAATCGATTACCTAAGGCATTTAGAAGTTATGACAATTTAAAAATTTCAAGATAGCGTCCTTCATACTGACGCTATGGAAAAGTTCAAACAAAATTTGTGAAGATTTTAACAGTGTATTTAAAAAATGTATTTGCAACTTAGGTTATATAAGCGAAATTTTGAAAGACCGAAAATTTTCTATAACACCATAGCAGTTGCGCCCCCTAGCGGTGAAGTTACAAACTTGAAAATATTTTAAATCAATTTCTTTTGGTCGTATTTGTTGATAGATTTTTTACCCCATAATCGTAGCACGTCTACTTTCCTATATACAGCCGCTCGATACCGTTAATGGATCACCCTGTATATATTTGGAGCAATTTTTAAAATAAGTCAAGATTTATAAATATTGATGAAACTTTGGGAACAAATAGTAAAACATATGTCAATTATACCCTAAAAATTTTGAAACGATCGATGGCGTGGTTTTCGATTGACAGGATTGTTAATTAAGAAAATTTCAAAAAGTTTATCGTATCGTGGGTTTAAATTAAGGTTTAGAAAGTGCACACAATTTTTTAGAGATGCTTGTTGTCATAATAAACAATGAACAATACTAAAAATACCTATTTTTACACTTTTATAACCATTTAGATTTTAGGCTGTTACAAATTCGTTTCTCACTACAGGGATCTCGGAATAGGTAAGAGGTACGAAGTAGCTTAAATAGGGGCAAAGTTGCGTAATCAGGGGACCAACATTATGCCTCTAAAAAATTAAGGCTAGCATGATTAGTTTTCGAATTATGTACTTGAAAAAAAACCGAAATTTTGGAAATCCGTTTTTGTTTCATTTCAGCCTTGTTTGAGGTAATATTGAAAAAAGAACAACACTTTCTAATGGCCACTTTTTGCCCTCTATCGAATGGCATAATCAATTTTTATATGTAACGTTTCGTCTCTCCAAGACCAACATCAACTTCATTTTTTTAAATACGACCTAGAAATTTTATTACATTTTTTACAAGCTTTCATGACCCCCAATACTGTACTGCCTCAGTCCGAATCAGATTCAGACGTTTTGTCTCGAAAAATTCATCTTCAGGTATTAATTCCAAATTTATCTAAATTTTTTATTTAAATTTCTTTGTTTATTGAATTATCGTACACTGTAAGTGTCGTTAGACCCTGTGAAATCCATCAAGTTATTTAAACTATTACCACCATGCGTTACAATTAAACATTTATTATTATTAACTATTACCATCACTTGGTCAAACATAACTCCATAAGTTGTTGCGTCAAAATTAAAACATTATTACAATTTTAATTTTATTATGACAAATAAATTCCTAAAAATGCATATGAACAACCGAAACTACAACTGAATATTATTGTTTAAAAAATTTCAGTAAATGTTCAAAAACATTTTCGTTTTGGCAAAAGTTGAAAATGAAGATCAGCGTAATATTATCGGAATTTATTATATCTGTAACCGCAACTGTGAAAGAGCATGTCAGATGTATTTGTATGAATATCCTGAAAAAAATAGATCGGAATTTGTTTGAATTTTGAGCACTCGAGAAGCCTAGAAATAACTAAGGACACGGAATTAAAACTAATAATTTTTTATTTTAATGCGAGGTGGTAATAGTTTAATTAACTAGATGGATTTCACAGGGCCTAACGACACCTACAGTGTACGATAATTCAATAAACAAAGGAGTCTAATTAAAAAATTTAGATAAATTTGGAACGAATACACTGAAGATGAATTTTTCGAGACAAAACGTCTGAATCTGGTTCGGGCTGAGGCAGTATAGTATTGGGAGTCATGAAGGCTTGCAAAAAATGTAATAAAATTTCTAGGGTCGTATTTAAAAAAATGAAGTTGATGATGGTCCTCGAGAGACGAAACGTTACATATAAAAATTGATTATGCCATTCGATAGAGGGCAAAAAGTGGCCATGAGAAAGTGTTCTTCTTTTTTCAATATCACCTCAAACAAGGCTGAAATGAAACAAAAACGGATTTCCAAAATTTCGTTTTTTTTCAAATATTTCGAAAACTAATCATGTTAGCCTTGATTTTTTAGAGGCATAATGTTGGTTCCCTGATTACGCAATTTTGCCCCCATATAAGCTACTTCGTACCTCTTACCGTTTAATAATAAAATATGCCGGCATAACTCTTCGGATTTTTGTTAAGGGATGTTCAAAGATTATCTAAAAATTTTAGCAAAATTAGAAATTGCAATTTTTAATATATGTAGTTTATTGACGTTGAAAATGATTAAAATCGCGTTTTTTCGAACAAATAATCGTTAATATCTAGAAAATGGTAGATTTTAGATAAAAGCTGCATAGGAACTTTTTTGCTCAGAATACCCCAAAAAGCCTAAAAATCGAAAATTATGAATTTGTGTAAAAAAAATTGTTTAAACAATTTTTGACCATTAGTGACGTCTGGCAACATTCGGATATGTTTCAAGGGTCATTTTTTTAGTATGATTATGAAAAAAATCTAATAAGAATCATGTTCCTAGCGGGAGCGACGATACAGCCTGGACTAAATGGTTTTTTGGAATAGGCAAACTCAGATTTTTATTTTACATAATATTTGAGATTTTTCTATATAACAAAATAGATGACTTCAAATACAAACGCCTCGAATGCTCTACCGCCTGGACTATAACTACTTTTACTTTTCTTGGTTGTACCAAGATTCAAACATTGTTCGATCAAGTGATTCATCTGCATCAATTTCTGATAGGTGGCTGGACTAGCTCGTAGAAAAGACAAACTGGAGGCCTTGGCCAAGAAACTTTCCAACAAAAAGGGCAAACTCTACGCAGTCCAAACCGACCTGACTAAAGAAGAAGAGATCGTGAACGCCTTCAAATGGGTCAAAGAAAAGCTTGGACCTGTTCACGTACTCATCAACAACGCTGGATTTTTAAAACAGAACAGTCTGGTAGACGGAGATATCCAGATTTGGAGAAACACTCTCAACGTCAACGTCCTCGGTCTGTCCATAGCTACGAGGGAAGCCGTAAGGGATATGAGGGCAAACAAAGTAGATGGACATATAATCCACATCAACAGCGAAGTCGGGCATCAAGTACCAAGCTTTCCACAGTTCAATTTGTACCCAGCCAGCAAATTCGCAGTCACAGCCCTAGCAGAAACGCTAAGATTGGAGCTCCTCAATCTAAAGTTGAAAATAAAAATCACGGTAAATACTTTACTTCTAAAGTAACTGTCATTGTCAAAATGTTTTCTAATTTTACTTTAAAGAATTGTGACCTAATTTTACTGAAAGGTAACATTTTTTAGAGCATCAGTCCAGGACCTACAGATACAGATATGCTGCCGGACTTTATGACATCTGACAAGAGTTATTACGAAGAGAAGAAGATAATCGAGCCTGAAAATATCGCCGACGCGGTAGTCTACGCCCTGTCGACTCCTCCTCACGTTCAGGTATCATTTTTTTTTAAATTGGCACTCATTGAAAAGTAGTACTGAATGTATGTTGTTCTCATGCGGCATAAAGGACTTTTCATTCATTAGACTGTCCCACACTTGTAATAGAAAATTAATTAATTATATAAACAACTGTCTTGAGATATTACATAAATGATAAAGAAAGCAATATGTTCTTTAAATATTAAATGTTAATTATAAGTATAAAACTAAGCAAATAATTAAGAATGTAAATAATGGAGTACTCCAAGTATAATAGACTAGAGCGAATCTGTCGAAATATCTGCCGATAAAAATTAATGATATAATAATTAATAATGAGAAAGAAATTGCTGATGCCTTTAACAGTTATTTTAAAAATGTACCCATTAATATTGTAAATCAGATCCCTCAAATTAAATCAAATGATAGATATAGCAAGGAATCTATAAATAATACTACAGGGTGATCGAGAATGGTTGACCGTGCCGCCTCATACTGATTTTTGATGTGCGGCATACCAGTTTTTGATACCAATACTAGAATCATGAGCGCAGGTTGAGGGATTTTATTGGTAAACAAATAATTACGTTCAAACGTCAAATAAATTAGGTTACTGTCAAAATGGAAATTCNCAGATCTCGAATTTTGCTCTAATTAAGCTCTGGTTACGTGACCTTATCGCGACAATACGTTGGGGTAGACGTAACGGAAGCGTTGTCTCCTTATGTTGTTGCAATCTTCAAAACAACGTGAAAATTAAAAGGAAAAGTTATGGTCAATGTTCAAATAGGATTTATAGAAATAAGCATAAGAAAACTGAAATATAACATGAGACGAGAGGAAAACTAAGAACCAATTTATGAGGCAGAATCAAGGACAGGGTTGGAAACCTTTAAAAAAATTTAGATGGAAAGGATATGAACGATGCTACAGAAAAGGAATAATTAAACTGATTAAAGAAGAAATGGAGACGAAACGAAAAGATTTTTGGAAAATAAAAGTCATGGGTAAAAAAAACTGAGAAAGACTATTGACGAGGAACGTGACGTCTGGAAGAGATAGAGGCATCAAAAATTTAAAAAAACATGCGAATCAAGATGGAGGAAAATTTTAAACAGAGAAATGTATGTGGTGTAGTAAATCGAGAACAGGGCAATAATTTGTTTAGAAATTTTTAGATGGAAAGTATAGGAATGATGCTACACAGAAAGAGTAACTAAGCTGATTAGTCCAAGAAGAAAAAAGTAGGAAAATGAATAGAAGAATATCACAAATAGTATACTTAAAGGCATTTAAATAGAGAAGATAGGAGAAGAAATGGAGACGAAGTAGAGGGAAACGGCGAAAAATTTGGAAAATAAAAATTATGCATTGGCAAAAGTAAAGTTTTCGAAAACAAAACAGAGCATAAAGGATGCTAAGGAAAGCTGGCGGAGAACAAGACAACTGGAAGAGATAGAAGCATTAAAAATTAAGAAGGTTTGTGAAACGGTGGAGGAAAATTTTAAATAGAAAAATATGTGTAGTGTAGTACTAGATTTTTTTAGAAATGTTTAGATAGAAAGCATAAGAATGATGCTCTCTTCATATGACATTCCTAGCCATAACACAGCCACACAAAAAAAAGTTGTCTACTTTTCCTGCGACATATGTTATCCGTAGTATTTTTGCCTCCTGATCACGAATCCGGTGCCAGAATTGTGCTGTCCCATCACAGGAATTTCCTAACCTCAAAAAAAACAGGTCAAAAAAGCAAAAATTCACGAAAAAGTGCTAGGAAACATACAAATTTTTTTTTCTATATTCAAATGTTCATTTATATGGTTATTAAGACCCCGTTTGTTCCGTGGTTCTTTTTCTAACCTCAAAAAAACGGGTCAATTAAGGTCAGATAACACAAATTTTCAAAAAATAACAGATTCGCGCCAAATTTGGTATACGGGGGTCGCTGGTCACGGATACGAGGTCAATTTTGCAAAATTCAAGTTGGCGGATCCAAGATGTCCTATCAAATTTTATTACCTGAGATTAAGCAGAAAACCCGTGAATAGCTCTTTTACAGAAAAGGTATAGCCTAAAAAAAAGGTTAAAACTTGATTGGGTACTCAGGTTATAAAGTAAACAAAAATATTATAAAATCAATTTTGCAATTCTGACCTTGAATTCGTGATCAGTAGAGTTCGGGACTCGGTCGGGTGATCATAACCGTCGCGTCCGCCTCTCGCTACAGCGTATCGTACGAAACCGGTAATAAGGGCAGTTATTGGCTTCGAGTTTGCTTCGTGTATATGTGTATTAATATTCTAATAATGTCGAACGCACCAAGGGGTAAAAAACAACCTTTCGCTGAAAAAGTACGAAAATGTATTTATTTTTATTTATCCCTACCTATTTATTTATTTGTTTTCGACGAAGGCGCCTATGACTGGCCGACGAAAACCACGAACTCTAGTAATCAGCGACCCCGAATATATTTTTTTTATTTTTCCGTTATTTTTACCTATTTTTTGAGGTTAGGAAATTCCTATGATGTGATAGCTCAATTGTGACACCGGATTCGTGATCAGGAGACAAAAATACTACGGATAACATACAGGATGGGCCATTAGTGTGAGAAAGTAAAATATCTCCCTTGTTACCCATAATACAAATAAAGGTTATACGGAAAAAGTTATACGGAATCAAGAAACCAAAACTACAAAAATAATTTGAAACATAGGTACTGTGCGATGAGTAAAAACGGGACACGCCAAATATTACATTTTTTAAATGTATGGATTTCTGAGAAAATTCTTTATATGACAATATAAACAGTTTATCATTTTAGTGCGGTGTTGCCAAGTTATGTAGAAAATTCTTCGAATTTTGGAAAAAACATCGAAGAAGTTGTCTTAACTTTTAGCTCCTAACACTTGGAACGTAATAATTAAACAGTTATAGGCAAATGTTAGATATTAGCTAATATCGATATTTTATACAGGGCATTTTTTATAATACGATCACTTTAAGAAAGTTCAAACTTGATTTTCTAAAATTTTTCAAATGGAACACCCTATATTTTATTGTTCTATTTTATTCACATATCGGTCCACTTCAACTTTTATTAAGCATGTTCTATATCTAAAATTGTTAGTTTTTAAGATATAGCAACATTTCTGAAATTTTTTTTATTATTTTATAGAATATCACAAATAAATATCAACTAATGAAATTAACTCAAAATGGAACGATAAATTATAAACTAACAAGTTGACCCAATGTGACAGTTTTTTCCAAAGCCATTTCCTGCGACCGAAAATAATAAAAATTAGGTTTTTCCAGAAATGTTGCTATCTTAAAAACTAACAACTTTAGGTGTAGAACATACTTAATAAAAGTTGAAGTGGACTGATATGTGAATAAAATAGAACAATAAAATACAAGATGTTCCATATGAATAATTTTAGAAAATCAAGTGTGAACTTTCTTAAAATGATCGTGTTATAAAAATGCCCTGTTTAAATATATATCAATATTAGCTAATATAGGAGTTTTTGCCTAACATGTGCCTATTACTCTGTCAAATATTTTTGCTCCAAGTGTTAGTAGTTGAAAGTTAATACAATGATTCGAGGTCATGTTTTTTTCCAAAATTCGAAGAATTTTCTACATAACTTGGCAACCCGCACTGAAATGTTAAACTGTCTATATTGCCATATACAGAATTTTCTCAGAAATCCATATGTTTAAAAATACACAGGGTGTTCCATTAAAAAAATGTTTTTATTTTTACTCATCGCCCTGTGTGTTTCAAATTAATTTTGTCCTTTAGGTTTTTTGATTCTGTACAACTTTTATAACGATACAGCGATACACTGCAACCTGCAACCTGCTGTTTCTCATCAAAGCAAACTGCTGTATGTTTATAAGACGACTATTACTACTACTTTCACACCTCTGAATATCCAGCGCAAGCGATCCAGCCCAAAAATTTGCGCTGAACATTTTTGTTAGCTGTCGAAATTTAAGAAGTGTCTTAAAAACGTTTGCTTCAAGCAAATGGAAGCAGTTGGAAGTGCTTGATTATGTTAGATGGTAGGATTGTCTATATGACCGAGAGCAATAAACAACAGTTACATGCAATATGTAATAACAGGGTAATTTGAATTTTTTCACATTTTATTGAATATTTTACCTTAAAATTACATAAAATCCATAAAAATATCTATATTTTTACAATAAATGTTCAATATGATGTCCATTGTTGTTCAAGCAGGTATTAATTCTTCTCTTCATATTATTAAATACATTATGTAAAACATTTTGTGTAATACTCCTAATTTCGTTTGTAATTGCCCCTTGAAGTTCTTTAATCGTGTGTAACCGTTGAGCAAATACTGAATTTTTTAAAAAACCAAATAAATAAGTCTAGGGTGTAAGGTCAGGAGAACGTGGTGGCCATCTATCTCGACTAATTATTCGATCATCATAATACTCTCTAATCAACTCTAAAGTTTCGTTAGAGGTGTGAGCTGTTGCGCCATCTTGCTGAAAGTATCCATGATGGATTTCATCGTTGTGAAGTTCCTCAAAAAATGGTAACAATATTTGCTACCGATATACCTGCTCAGTTACATTTTCACGGAAAAAATATGGTTCGATTATTCTTCTACGTGACATAGCTACCCAAACACCAAGTTTAATAGGGTGTAGAGTTGTTTCACGCAAAATATTAGGGTTTTCTGTGTTCCAAGAGGATAATTTTGGGAGTTTACGTACCCTCTTAAATGATACATGCTTCATCAGAAAAAATTGTTAGATCTAGAATATCGTCGTCATTCAGATTTTCGTTAAAGCAATTACAGTATTGCACACGTTTTCCAAAATCTAACGGAAGTAGTTCCTGTACAACACTAACTTTATAAGGATGAAAATGCAACTTCTTTACTGCTTTATGGCATGATCCATATGATATTCCTATAAACAATTTAGGAATAATGATACAAATTTTAGAATAAATATTTGTTATTAAGTACCTGTTTGAGCAGATAACCGACGTAGTGATTTGGTTGGACTAGCTCGTAAGCGGTTTTCAACATCTTCCAAGACTTCCTCTGTAAGAATAGACTTTCTGCCTGGAGATTTTCCTCTACAAACACTTCCAGTGTTATGGAAGCGTTCCACTAATCTCTTCACGTGTCTCGAAAAAATCTCATTATCATCAATTTCATCATTTGGAAATTGTTCTTGAAATGACACGAATTCATCGAATATTTCCAACCATTATCATTGTTTTGTTCACTACGAAAATAGGCCTCCAGAAGAAATTTATCATGTTCTAATGAAAATGCCATGTTCTTAACCTAAATTAAAAAATCGATTAGGTTAGGGAACAACATACGCAATAAATCAATTACTCACCTATAATATCCACCTACTCTAACTGTAGTATTGAAAAATACTGTTTTATAATGTCGCAAAATATATCAGGTAACAACAAAATCTACAAAATAATATTCAAGCCAAAAAATCCGTGCGTCAATGAACAGAAAGTCAAATTGTGAGATCGCCATAGAACACCATTAAATTGCACGGAAAGAAAAGTAATTTTAGTAAACGGAAATCAGTTTTGATAGCATTTGGGACAGGGTACGTTCAGAATCCGGTCAATCATTATCGATCTCTCTGTATTTACCTGCGACCTAAGCTTCAACCATTCTGGATCGCTCGGTATAAATTGTAAACAATATGGACCCCAGTACAGTTCCTTGGGGAACTCCACAACTCCACATCACTGATGACACTATCCAGCTGTGCAAATTGTTTACGATTTCTGCTTCGCACAGCTGAAAAGAGACAGAATGTGACAATACTCGCAGATAAATGTAAGAACCGCCCCTGCACGATTATATTCCACCGTCCACCGCCTAGACCCTAGTTTTAACTCTGCGACCCCAAAACTAAAACAATATTTATGCGACAGCGTTCCCAATGACGCGTCCTGCGGCCAACTTCCGGCCCATTCATTAAACATCAGACCGGATAATCTTCGCGCCGATGTCCACACGAACAATTAATAAAACTCCGCCGTCCAGAGGGCCCAGGAATAATNGCAAACGTTGTGTTGCCATCTTGTGGAACTGTGGATGGAACAAAATAATATAAAAATCGCGATTAAAAATCAGGGGTTGATCGTATAAGGGTGAAAATTTAGAACTGTATGTATTTTTCAATGCTGAATCATGAAAAAATAAAAACAGAAAATTTTGTCCGAAAAATAAAAAAAAAATTTTGGGGTGGACCACCCTTAACATTTAGGGGTATGAAAAATAGATGTTGGCCGATTCTCAGACCGGTATATATGATGATAATATCCACTCTATAAATACAAGACAAAAAAATAATTTTTATGTGCCTTTTTGTAGGTTAAATGTTGCCAGCAGATCACCCAATTACTTGGGTCTAAAAATTTTCAATAAGTTACCTTCTGAACTAAAAAGTTGCTCATCGACTGGACCGTTTAAAAAGCGCTTAAAGCAGCATTTAGTATACAAAGGATTTTATAATATTAACGAATACTTTGATGTATAATATATGTGTATTTGTTGTTTGTTAAAGTGTTATTTTGTGTGTTTAGTATTTACGAATTTTATGTAGCTTTTACACTGCTATTGACAATTCCAGTACAATTTGTAAATTGTCTAATGGAAATAAAGAAATTGAAATTGAAATCCCACTTCTTGGATGTAAGAGGGGGCAAGCTAATTTTTGCTGGAATACCTTCAGTGCAACTCATATAATAAAAGTGTAGATCCCTAAATCTGGGCGAGGTCCCGAACATTTTCAAAATATTTCATCTTGGAGCCTATGCATTTTGGAAAAATATTGAAGAGGAAAAAAAGTTGCAGAATTAAATTTTGCATAATACACTGTAAGTTAAAAATGTTTAAATTTATTACCGATGTTGCAAAATAACAATAATTGATGAAAAAAAGGCAAAATAATTAAGTTTCTTGGATAATTTTATTTAAATATTTTAATTGCTCCGAGGGCATTCTAACTTTGGTAAAAGAAACTTTAGAGTATAATAAGACAACACACCAAATTTCATTAAAATGGGTTATACAGGGTGTCCCCAATTCGGGTTGCCTATACCTGAAATGGATACAAAATTTCAATTGTCAAAAAAAATCATTCTTCATAAAAATTTTTGCTTGTCCAGATGCCCTTGACAAGATAGTCATTTGTTCAAATTAATGTACAGGGTATTCAAAAATTTGGAAAAGGTAAAAACAGTGAAGAGTAAAGTACCTTATATCTTAACGCTACGTGAAAAAGTAATGGGGAAAAGTTGCTTGGAATTAAATTTTATGTTTAAATATGACCTAGCTAATACTCGACATTCTAGAAAATAAGTTTAAGTACTTCACACTCTAGAAGTTGATGATGCACATAGTTTGGAGTTCTGTTTAGAGATAGGAGAAAGGATTGTGGTAGATAGACATTTTCACAAACATATAATTTAAATGTTGCATAGCCTCAAATAAAGCATCTAGATACTTGAAAATTTTTTCCTATAGAAAAGACCGCTCAACCTTTCAAAACCCTTTTTTTATTTTTAAACAATTAGATTACATTTATCAATTTGCAATTTAGTTTTTTTTCAAAAATTATAATTTTAAAGTTAAACGGAAAAACGTTTCTTTAAAGAAAAAGAAAAATTAAATTCCGTTTATTGGTGCTCGAAATATAAGCGGTCAAAGTTTATCGGCATTTACCGTTAATTTATAAACAATTTAGCAAAGCAGCAGTGGCTTCGTTTTTCCCAGTTCTAAGCTGGAAAAAATTTTCATATCCATAAGTTATCGGCAACATAGATAAATCAGCGGAAAAGCTGTCGCTCGCATGCGCGGAATGTGACTCAAAACACGAAAAGTGGGGGAGGGGGCTTTCGCCCCGAGACTCAATTCGGAGGTTCAAAATGCGAAGGTACGAAAAAAATTGCATTATCTCGGCTTCTAATGGACCAATTTCGATCTTTTTTTTTAATCCGGTGTCTCGCGAGCCAAGGAATTCGAATATCATAATGCCTAATTTACACATATTTTGTTATAACCAAAGTTTAGTATTTATGCATTAAATATACTGTATATTTTACCTTATACTATTGCATTTTTTCAATGAAAAAATTTGTTTACGTATATACAATATATTTCAACACTCTGAATATGAATGTATTTAGTTATAATTATTACAATTATTTAAATAATTTTTGTCTAAACAAATTAAAAAAAATATATTAGGAAATTATTTTTTTTTTGTTAAATACAGATAACTAAGAAAAAATAGTACTTTAAAATTATAATTAAAAAGAGTGTTAATTTAAAAATTTACTGTAGCCGTCCTAATCAACCGATTTCAATTTTTCAAAAACCATTTGAAAGATTGAGCGGTCCTTTTTATGTGAAAAAATTTTCAAGTATCTAGATTATTTATTTGAGGCCGTGCAATATTTTGAAAATTCGAAAATTTTTTCAAAAAATTATTTTGCGAAAACTATAGAACCGATTTTAATGAAATTTGGTTTTCTGTTTTATTATACTTTAATTTTTTTTTACCAAAATTAGAATGCCTTCGGAGCAATTAATTAAAATATTTTTAAAAAATTATCCAAAAGACTTGATGAAATAGGTACTTTTTTAAATTTTTTAATCACTTTTGCAACTTTGAAAATGTTCCGGACCTCACCCAGATCTATGGATCTACACTTTTATTATGTGAGTTGTACTGAAAGTAATCCAGAAAAAATTTGCTTGCCCCCTCTCACATCCACCTCAAAACAGATCCGTCCTGGTCTATATCTTTCCTTTATAATTTCATACATTTTATTTTCAGATTCAAGAACTCACAGTAACACCAGTAAACCATAAACTATAAATGAGACAAAGGCAAAGTAGAAACGTTTCGCCATTTTGTTCCTAGCATCAATGATTACTCTTGCAGAAGTACCAGATTGTGCTCAAAACGTGTTTAAGAAGTTTGCCAAAGTACATATATATTTTTCAATGTAGTTGCTTATAATAAAATTGTAGAATTGTTGTCACTTGATAATAAATTATTTAAAATGAATCATCTATTTATATTCCTAGGCCACGCCCTCTACCCAACTCCACAGATTCAGAGCCGCGCGCACGGCGTTATAGTCTGTTTAGAAATGAAAGAGAGTAATAAAACCCCGAGATATGAACCGGCCACGGGCGTGGTAATATTTCGTTTCAGGTAATTATCGGGTAACACTAATGCTAACAAAAATGACAGTTGGAAAATCGACTATCTACAGACTTTTAAAGGAAACAAAAAATGAACAAGATACTGTAAATCCCCCAAAATCATCTACAGGGAGGTCAAAAGTCGTTATAGATGATTTCTTCAAAAATGTCATTCGCAGAAAAGTACACTCATTTTATTTTAAAAAAGAAATACCAACGCTAAACAAAATTTTAAGTGAACTTTCAGAGGACAACGATTTGCCAAAAATCAGTAGAAGCAAATTATGGGCCGTCTTACGAGAGTTGAATTTTTGCTGGGAAAAGCAGAACAGGAAGTCAGTTCTTATCGATAAAGATGAAATTATTTGTTGGCGAAGATCCTACTTAAGATCAATTAGAAAATTCCGTGACGAAGGGAGGAATATTTATTATCTAGACGAAACTTGGGTCAACGAGGGATATACTGTAACAAAAGTATGGCAAGATAAAAATGTAAAAAGTTTTCGACAAGCATTTTTGGATGGACTTTCAACAGGGTTCAAGGCACCTTCAGGTAAAGGGCGAAGATTAATAGTGACACATATAGGTAGTGCCAGTGGTTTTGTAGATGGCGGTTTACTTTTATTTGAATCTAAAAATACAGGTGACTATCACGAAGACATGAACGCAGATGTTTTCGAAGAGTATTTTACACAGATGTTGGATCTTATTCCTCCGGGGTCTGTAATTGTCATGGATAATGCCAGTTACCATTCACGGCAGACCGAGCGGACGCCTACGACTGCTTGGAGGAAAGCCGATATAATTCAATGGTTATCCGGAAAAAACATTTCTTTTGAAACAAATATGGTGAAAAAGGAACTTTTGACACTTGTCAATCTTAATAAAGATCAGAAAAAATATGTTATCGATGAAATGGCAACAAATCGCCAAATAACGGTACTACGGTTACCACCTTATCACTGTGAACTTAACCCAATCGAATTAGTCTGGGCGCAGGTAAAAGGAGATGTAGCGCGAAATAATACGACGTTTAAATTAAGTGACGTGAAAATTTTGTTAAAAAATTCCTTGGAACGAGTAACTGCAGATAACTGGCAAAGATGTATACATCATGTACAAAAAGAAGAGGAGAAAATGTGGGAACTCGATAATTTAATTGACGTTACTGTGGAACCTATCGTTATCAATCTAGGAGACGAAGATAATTCATCAGAATATTCAGAGGATGAATTTTAATATACCTACTTTTTTATTTTCTTTATTGTACATTTATACAACACTACATTTACTCACCATAATTTGAATTTTCAAAATACATATATTTTTGTGTGGAATAAAAGTCTATTCATTAAATTTAAATAAATATTTTGATAATAATATTGAATAATTTTATTTGAATTACTAAAAACCCTCTTAACCCGGTTATGATGCTTAAAGTAGCCTCATGTTTTGAAATGCTGTTTTTATATTGTTTACTTATAAGAGAAATGGACCGAGAAATTGAAGCGGCATAGACAAAGACGGATTGTCGGGGATTAAATTTTAGCTACCTGCTACAATTTAGTACAACCCGTCACACAAAGTTTTTTTAAAAGTACACCTCATCTATACGGAAAATACATAATATAAAAATATTGAATATACGCACCAGTACTACATTTATTTACGATTTGCATACATAATAAGCTTTTATTACTCTCTTTCATTTCTAAACAGACTATAGTAATGTCATCGATGACGCAGCGGCATATTATACCCAACTCTTATTATTGCATAGTACAGGGCCGAGCGCGCAGCGTGCACGATGCCACGCCCTCTACCCCACTCCATAGAATTAGAGGCGCGCGCGGCGGCATTGACATCAAAGACAACACAACACAAGCAGGAGAGCGGGACTTCTTATTTAATATAAAAATTTGCTTGATCTTGATTTGGTGCTAAAGATATTTTTCCTTAACAAATGTCAACGACGTAGGTATAGCGTTACCAGTTCAATAATACACCCTATATAGAAAAATAGTCTCATAATTCTAACAGTAAACAACGAACTAAGATTGCACCTTGCAGCTACAACGCTACAACGTAGATAATTATGCACTAGCTGTTTGCACACATCCGCCCGATTGACCTCTCTTTCAAGACCTTTTCTATGTTTTACATCTATTCTCAGTTGTACTTTTTTACATTTTTATTACAAATTCTTATTTAAATTTTTAATTGTAAAATATTATTTCGGATTTACTAACTGACTGTAGGATCTGTCGAGAATCCCCTTTCTGTTAAAAAGAAATACAGGCCGTATGATATTTGTTGTGATTGAATTCCAAGAAGACCCATACGTCATTTTCTTGGAATTAACCGCATTCGACACCATAGGTAGAAATATATTAACGGCGTGGCGTTCACTATAGCAGCTTGCAGTACATACTGTATTTTACAGTTACGAATGCGTGTAGATTACACTGCATATATTTTCAACACCTACCCTTAATTCATTAAACTATCGAGAAAATCCCAATATTCTATTTAGTCGTGGCTGTTACGCCACCTAGCGGCCATTTTAGAAACTAGCAAACATTTTCCAGCGATTTTTCAGGACCACTTTCCTCAATGTAATTTTTTTCCTAAAGCTGTGCGATGATTCGTTTCTGAGATATGGCCAGCGGCCGTTCTTAGTTGGCCACCCGGTACATTCAAAAATTTTTTTCAGATCAGTTCTGAATCACCCCGTATTAATGATATGTGTGGGTATATCTAACGACAGAATCTCCTTGAACAGAGAAATAGCTGTATCGTCTTGGCGACAAATATCAAACTGAGATTAAAATTATTTCGCAACACGTAATCTAAAAAATTATCCGCACTTTCGCAATTTTAGCTCGTGCTATTATTATATAAATAAAAGCAAAGTATACTTTTCTGATCAGCGACGTGTATTATACTTGTGAAATTCCCTCTACAATGGTGCTGTCTATGAGTCGTTGGGTTGGTAAGGTGGCCGTAGTCACCGGTGCTGGTTCCGGTATGGGAGCTGCTATCACAGAGGCGTTGGTGGAACAGGGGCTTAAGGTACGTTTATAAAATGTGAAAATACTAATTTATAAGTCGTGTTGATGCTGGTTTATAATTTTGAAAATTATTATACCTAATTGTTTGTTTAATAATATTTGTAAATGATAGGAGCCAACATTACATTGTGGAGAAATTGTTTAATTATTATACAGGGTGATTCACTTTTTTGATTAGGACTTTAACCGTCGATAGATCACGTGAACATAATGTTAATTTGAAGTATATATTTTTTCTTCCTCTTCTTTTAGAGATTAAGATTTTGAAAAAAAAATATATTTTTTGGTTTTTATTTATTTTTTTTTTAAACTATAAAAGCCATTTGTTTTATAGTTAGTATGAAGTGTACGAATGAAACGCTCTATCGATTTTATAAATTATTGTGAAAATAGATCAATCATAGGCGTCCATAAGGAGCTTTGATTGCCCCTATTTTTAATATAATTTCTACGCCACTGGAAATTTTTTAAAATGAATATATTTTTTTACATTGCGGTTTATTCTACAGCAAAAAGGTCTCTTACTATTTTTAAATGAAATGGCTTCTAATGGATTCATTTCATGCGAAATGGTTAAGTTTTTCAAACAAAGTAATACAGAATAAAATATTTAATATTGAGAAACAAATAAAAATAACAATTTAATAATGCAACGTAAAATCAATGACTGAGGAAATATGTCAAACTACGTATAGACAATTGTTATTCTAAAGGCGGGTATCCATTTGTGTCAAATGCCCCGTAACGTAGCACCGAACATGTTACCAGAGAACACAATACCAACGAGAAGCGACAGAATCGGCGGTTCCTTTGATGTTTTGTGGTCACGCTAGAGTCGACCGATTTGACAGAAACACAAACGTTTACACTGAGAGAAGTTACACTTTTGAATAGATGTACACTGAACGAACTGCATCAGTATCAAACGTTATTCATATAATACAAGGACAACTGTGGTAAAATGTAGACAAATTAGGTACAATATATAAAAAAATAAAACAAGATGTTTTACAACTAATATATTTATTAAGCAGATATAATATTTTACTGCAATATTTGAAATAATTTTTTAAAAATAGGTACCTGACAATGCTATAACTTCTTTGGGACAATCTTCCACAATTTTTGCCTCTAGCTCTTCTTGCCCATTTCTAAGTTGAGGAAACTGTATAGGTATTCCGTTTGGCAATAAGGTTATTCTTACATTCCCTTTACCAATATATTTGGTTTCGAAATGGTGTTCACAAAGCATATAATTCTTATATACATCCACAATCCTAGGCAATAAATCGAGTCTATTGCAAGTTTCTATCCACACTCGAGCACTGCAAACAAAAATAAAAATTCTCCTAAAGATATTCTCTGTACTTATGCAATACCATATTACAAGAAAACATTCCATATTATTTTAAAAATCAAAATACTTTTTTCTGATTTACAGTTTAGAGGTAGGTACTTAAAATAATTACCTTTCTAATCCTTACGTAATCTCAATAGGGTTGATCCTTCACCTGTTTTCGATGAACAATCGCGAAAAGCACAATAATAACCATGCATTTTATTGATTTCAAGTTGATTCTAATTGTAGATGGAAACGAAATATAATACAAATAAATCCACTATCAATTAACATTATACAACACAACTGTCCACCGCCAAAAAACTATTACTCGTTTCTTCTATTTATATTTGACGGCTCTGACAGCCACTGACAACTGACAACAACACAACCCAATTCGCGCATGCGCATACGAAAACTGTTAACGCAGAAAGCCTTGCTGTCGCTTCTCGTTGATATAGTGTTCTCTGATGTTACGTTACAGCTAGTGGAGACGGAAAATTGTTGCATGGTACGTGTAACAAATTTGACACGAGTAACTAATCCGGGACGAACCATCAGTTGTCGGTTTTTAGTCGTCGCCTCAAAGGGATGCAACAGTACTTTCTGCCACATGTTGAGACGGGATTACCCTTTTGGCAGTAACGTTGCCTGTTGCACATGTGATTCTGTCTTATTTTTTGTTTCATCAGTCTTTTTTTATATGGTCTGGGGTCAGTCTGTTTTCTGCAGTGACTAGGAAGAGTACATTTTTCTGTGTTTGTGCCATGGAGTGGAGTAAAGAAAATATTTCCGGAGATTTCCGTTTCTTATTCTTCAAAATTGTATGATGAATAAAAATATATGACTGCAATTGCAGTGACGAATCCATTATTGCAGTCAGGTTCATACTGCGAGTTTATGTTCCTGTGTAGTCTCGAAACCTTATTTTGTTACGTTACGGAATGAATGATACGACCAAAACCACACATACTTTCGCAGCGAACCATGTCACCTTTTGCAACAGGCCGTAACATGTTCGTTGTTACGTTACGGAGCATTGTCACAAATTAGTCGAGGCAATGGAGCACTAAAAAGTTCGGAATTTTTTCCATAAAGACGGATCGGAATGCGGATTTTTGCATTCACTTCCAAAAATTTTTTGTAAAAAATGTGGCTACTTTGTGTTTCTGACAAACCGGAAATTGCATTGCTGCAGCTAAAAATGCATTCAAAAAATGCACTTTTTGAGACGCCTTTTGGAAGATTTCAAAACTTTGTAAATAAGAGTCAGAACTGGCCCAAATCGGGTACTCGGGGGTTCTCGAGGTCGCTGATCACGATTGTGATGTTCAAATTGACCCCCCGAACACCTGAAGCTCAGGAAAGCCGATGAACGTCATCTCCGTGGGACTCTCCCACAAATCACGAGGGGAAGGAGAGAAACTCGGCGCCCGAACCTGGACGTGGACGTCATCTCCGAGAATTTTCCTGACAAGATTGACAAAAACAACCCGAAAATCATTGTGGGGGCGTTTCTTGGGGCGCTTAATCCAAATTTCACGTCGAAAACGACCTCCTGTACACCTGGTGCACCGGAATCTGGACGCGGACCTCATCTCCGTGGGTTTTCCTCGCATAATCGAAAAAGACGAACCGAAAATGGATATGGGGGGGTTTTTGAGGCGCTGAATCCGAATTCCACCTCGACAACGACACCGCAAACACCTGGTGCACCGCAACCTGGCCCCGAACGTCTTCTCCGTGGGGCTCCTCCAAAATTCTAGCGGGGAAGGAGAGAAACTCAGCGCCCGGGGGTTTCTTGGGTCGCTGAATTCAAATGTGGCATCGGCGAACACCCCCCGGACACCTGGTGCGCCCGAACCTGGACGTGGATGTCATCCCCGAGAATTTTCCTAACAAGATCGCCAAAAATAACTCAAAAATCATCGTAGGGGCGTTTTTTGGTGCACTTAATCCGAATTCCACGTCGACAACGACCCCTCGAACACCTGGTGCACCGTAACCTGGGCCTGAACGTCGTCTCCGAGGGTTTTCCAGCCGCGATCGCAAACACTAACCAAAAATCGTCTCATAATTTTACACATTCATTCATGGGTAACTCTCACCTGGGGCCCGCCAATTACATAAATATTGACTTTCTATTCATTATATTTCTTTCCTCCTCACATAATTTAACTAGAATCAACAATTCCACACAGCTGATGCAGTACTGATGTCGGTCTCTAAGACATCAGGTTTGGTTGACATTCATGGGAATGACATCGATGTCAAGATAAAAGTTCGGGTGCACCAGGTGTTGGGAGGGTACTTTTCGACGTGAAATCCCGATTCAGCGCCCCGAAAAACCCCCCATAACGATTTTGGGTTCGTCTTCTTCGATTGTGTGAGGAAATCCCTCGGAGACGACGTTCAGGCCCAGGTTACGGTGCAGCAGATGTACAGGGGGTCGTTTTCGACGTGAAATTTGGATTAAGCGCCCCAAAAAATGCCCCTACGATGATTTTTGAGTTGTTTTTGGCGATATTGTTAGATGAGGTTCACGTCCAGGTTCGGGCGCACCAGGTGTCCGGGGGGGTGTTCGACGATGGCATATTTGAATTCAGCGACCCAAAAAACCCTCGGACGCCGAGTTTCTCTCCTTCCTCGCGTGATTTGTGGGAGAGTCCCACTGAGATGACGTTCATCGGCTTTCCTGAGCTCCAGGTGTTCGGGAGGTCAATTTGAACATCATAATCGTGATCAGAGACCTCGAAAACCCCCGAGTACCCGATTTGGGCCAGTTCTGACTCTTATTTACAAAGTTTTGAAATCTTCCAAAAGGCGTCTCAAAAAATGCATTTTTTGAATGCATTTTTGGCTGCAGCAATGCAATTTCCGGTTTTTCAGAAATGCAAGGTGTCCACATTTTTTACAAAAAATTTTTGGAAGAGAATGCAAAAAACCGCATTCCGATCCGTCTTTATGGAAAAAATTCCGAACTTTTGTGCTTCATTGCCTCGCCTAAATGGTACCCGCCTTAATATCACCAAGGAGCATGAGACTTTTTTTCAAAAAATCTATACCACCTAAACAGTTTCTTTAAGTGATAAAATAAAAAAGATAGTTTTAGATGTCACTTTAAAATATTATACATAACTGATATTTTCTAGACCTCTTCTTAATTATAAATTTGACCACCAGGGGTGGTACGGACTATCGAATCGTTCGGATTACCAAACAAAGTGCTTTCCAGGCATAGTAGCATGCAAAAAATGAACACTGACATACTACTTCCCATAAAATAAGGAGCACGTTGTATTGTTAAAGGTACAAAATTGTTTGTTTTATAAAATACATACTACTGTGCTACAGTAAGGTAACTATATTTTATGTAATGTATTGCACATGAATTTAGTAATATTTTTAGTATACAATCTTCTACACACACAGAAAGTACAGTACTGTACACACACAAAAATTATACTGTACAGAAAATTAAAAAAATTAAAGATGCAATGTTTACTACGGTGATGCTCTGTTTACTGTAGCAGTTAAAGAGCGATTCTGATTACATACTATTTTTATTTTTCCCAAAACGGCGTTCGGATTATCGAGCGTTCGGATTACATGAGTTCGGATTATCGAGGTTATACTGTAGTGTCGTAGAATACATACTTCATACATACATTTACCTAATTGTAATGAATCCATAAGAAGCCATTTTTCTCAAAAACTAAGTATTTCATTTAAAAATAATAACAGACCTTTTTGCTGTAGAATAAACCGCAATGTAAGAAAATATATTTATTTTGAAAAATTTCCAGTGGCGTAGAAATTATATTAAAAATAGGAATGATCAGAGCCCCCTGTGGACGCCTATGATCTATTTTCATAATTAATAATAATAATAATAATAATAATGATAACGATAATGATAACGATAGTGATAGTGATAGTGATAGTGATAGTGATAGTGATAGTGATAATGATAATGATAATGATAATGATAATGATANAATAATAATAATAATAATAATAATAATAAAAATAATAATAAATTTATAAAATCGATAGAGCTTCTCATTCGTATACTTCATACTAAATATAAAACAAACGGTTTTCATAGTTTAAGAAAAAATAAATCAAAAAAATTTTTTTCAAGATCTTAATATAAAAGCAAGCCTTTGGAAGAAAAAGTGTATACTTCAAAATGATATTATTTTGATGAGATCTATCGATGGTTAAAACCCTAATCATAAAAAGTGAATCACCCTGTATATACATCGATACATTTTGAAAAACATTTTCTTAAGTATGTTCTTATTTAATCAGAGAGTTCTGGATTCAGATTAATCTGCTGATACTACGTATCCTAGAAACCATATCTTAAGAAATTAAATAAGAAAAAATTATAAAATTTGGATATTAGAAGATGCTATTATTAACAAGACAAAAAGTCCAGAAAAAATTTTCACGGAAAATAAAATTTATTTTAATTTAATTTTAACTTTAACACTATGCCAAGTGGATATAACGATATGATATATTTTAAGTTGCAAAAAATATTTTATTTAATTCAAAAGTTACTTCATTACTTCATATACAGAGTGTATCTTGAAAACGGAACAGAACGAACAACTCTCAGGAAAACAAACTTAATATTTTGTACAGAGACGAACAATTTCGTAATTTAGAAGTTCAAGAAACGATAGAAATATTATACAAGGAATGTAAAATGGTATTTTCGGAAAATATAGATTGTTTTTCCCAGTTTTAACAATTCCTGCAACAAGTGGCTCGGTAGAAAGATACTTTTTAGAAAAGAAAATTTAAAAGACGGGCGAATAAACCTGTTTTACAAAAACATTCACTATGTTTTTAAAAATGTTGTTAAAAGTGGAGGCAAATGAAAAGCTGGCGGCGTCGTTTTATATGTAAATAGATAAATTGGCTGGCTACCTTATGAAAATTTGTTTTCATATTTTTTAATATTCATAAACCCATTAGGAACAATTTTGTTAATTATAATTAAAACTAACCTAACCTAAACTAACCTATTAATTATTAGGTAAATATATCACTTTGTTTTCTTCAGTTACTTAATTTTATTGTAAATACAATTTTTAAAGTTCTGATATTATTATTAATAAAATAATTTTTTAATTTACGGTTATAGTAGGGCTATAGACGAAGATCTCCATAATAAAAAATGAGGTGGAAATTTATTCCTATTTATTATTTGAGAGCGGATTAATAAACTATCCAAATAGTTGCGTATTGCGTATTATTTTTTATAAAATATGAAAGAAAATCCTGCTCGTGAACATCAGTTTTTCTATAATATTGTCATTGCAACTAAAAATTTCCAGATGCATTTAGTCGTTTGACCTTGAAAATTTAAAAAATTTTCCCTGCGGCGCTTTTTTTTCTTTCTGGCCCACCTAGAAAAAAAAAGCCACGGGCAACAACTTTCCTCCAGTTTCTTTTCATAATTGGAAATAGCATAAAAATATGCAACTTTGTAATTTAATTCTCCCTGTATATATTCTACTTCAAGGATATCAATGGTGTACACGGTAAAAGTGGCCACCTTATGTTCTGTTGTGGAATATTTCTGGTAAATTAAGTTTTGTAATATTTAATTTTTCCATAGGTTGCAGCACTGGACCGAAGAAAAGACCGCTTGGAGGCTTTGGCCAGTAAGCTCTCTGACAAAAAAGGTAAAATATACCCCGTCAAAACGGACGTAACTAAAGAAGAAGACATTTTGAACGCCTTCAAATGGATTAAAGAAAACCTGGGCCCGGTACATATTCTAGTCAACGATGCTGGTATACTTGGACATACAAAACTCGCAGATGGAGACACTGAAATTTGGAGAAACTCCCTCGACGTCAACGTCCTCGGTTTGTCCATAGCTACGAGGGAAGCTGTAAGAGATATGAGAGCAAACAAAGTAGATGGTCACATAATACACATCAATAGTATCTTGGGGCATCAAGTTCTCGATTTCACGGGAATGAACGTATATCCTGCCTGTAAATTTGCAGTGACAGCCTTGGCAGAGACTTTGAGACTGGAGCTTCTCAATTCGAAGTCAAAAATAAAGATTACGGTAATATTTTATCGACTTATCGTATCGGCACAATTTCAAAACTATTATCAGAAAATCTTTACTGTAATATTTGTATTAATTATTCGTTTTGAGCAATGTTGGTCTCGAAATGAGAAGAAAGTTATGAAAAATGTTTTAGATACCCTTTTGCTATAAAATTGCTGCGTAACTGTGTGTATCAAAATTTGTTAAACATTCTAATGGTTTTGCAAACCCAGAACTTAAGCGTATCCCAAAAGAAATGCTAAATTTCACGAGGAAAAAAGATTTTATTAATTAAAACCAAAAATTGTACATGTTTTTAAGAGGTAGACATTGCTATTAAATATGAAAGAGGATATCGGACAGATATCCTTCACGACTCATTTGGCATACCTGAGTTCTTTTAATAAAATGCTGTATCACCTTTTGACCTTTACGAATCCCCAAAGGAAAAAGTTACGTGGCATTAGATCGCATAATTTTGGTGGCCAAGTCACTTCACTGTTACGTGAGATGAGTCGTCCATTGAATTTCTGGCGTAACCGTATGGCAAGTGGTACCATTCTGCTGAAACCACATGCCATCCAAATCCATCCCATCTAAATGAGGCCACAAAAAATACAATAGCAACTCTCCATATCGTTCTCCATAGTCCAGCTTTGTTTTCAAAAAGGAACAAACCAATCACTCCATCAGCATAAAATCCACACCACACTCTTTGGATATACTCGTACAATGGTCGTTCTTGATTGACCTGAGGATTATCTCTGCCCCAAATTCGACCGTTTTGCTTGTTCACTTACCCTAGATGGAAATGCACCTCGTCGCTAAATTACCGTCCACTTGTTGATTCTCTAACATCAAATCAACGAATGTTTGGAGCATTAAGGAATTTGGAATTGACCAAAAAATATTCATAAAAAAATTAATATAAGCTTATTAATATGAAGAAAATCCTCAAATAAAAATGATGAGTAGTTTGGATACCTAAGAGACGAGATATTAATAAAATAATTTTTCACGATTTAGTACAGAGTCTTATGAGAACGCAGATTTTTTCGATCTTTTCACTTAGAATACGCAACAATTGACGAACAGTTTCCACAGCAACTTGTATAAATAGGAAACCGATATCTAAGGAACCGTATGACAGCTTGTAGAAATCGATTAGGTACTTGTAAGATACATAATTTATAATAATTCTCCTTCAAACTGCTGTCGTTGTCTAACTTATCTTCCATATGCGTGATAGCGACAACGCCGCGGTCTCGATGTAGCGTATTATTTGAAATTCGCAGGTGGATCACAGAATGATCAAACGGGAGCGAGCAAACGCCAAGCCGAGCGCGCCAGCCAAGTGCAACGTTGCCAAATCTAAAGGCTTTCTACTTTAGTCATTAGCGAATCTACAGAAACTTTCGTTAGACTTTAGACGGACCTCCGTACCCGATAAACCTCCTTAAATGGTCGCTTCAGTTTCTAGGTTAGCTGAACCTTGAAGAATACAGATGCAAATCTTTTATTAAAATCTGCTGCATTGTACTTTTTGAAATGATTAAAAGCAATGACCAACAGCGCACTATCACTCTCCATAGTAATATTTTCAGCTGAACGGCCTGTACTAGGTCAGTCTGTTTTTTTGTTGTCTGCAATCGGACCTGTTTGTTCAAATTTAGCAAGTAATCTTTTCAAAGTTATTTCATTCGGGGCGTTCCTTCTACCGTAAATTCCAAGTAATTTGCGCACAGTCTCAGCTACACACTCTTCATATACTTGTAATGGATTTGATCCTGCACAATGCTGCCAATTCATCGGAATGAAAATGGAGCATAAGTAATATACATCGTAGTAAAAAATCTTATATGCCATAGAAAACGAAGTATGCAGAAAATATAATAAAAATAAATAGAAAAATAGAAAATAGAAATTGAAAGAAATCTTCTTACGAATTTTCAGAGCATCAGTCCTGGACCTGCAAACACGAATTTGGTACCAGATTTCAAGAATACTGAGACATTTAAAAGGTATATTCATGACAAAATGGTAATCGAACCTGAGAATATCGCCGATGCCACTATTTATGCCCTATCGACACCTCCTCACGTACAGGTAACTTTTTTTTAACTTTAACGATTCACGATCTTCTGATTAATAAAGTTTAATAAAAGCTTCAGTTTGAGATGGCTATCAAAATTCTTGTTTCGGATCTTAATCGAGTTTTTGGGTCATTTTATTTATAATCATCAAATCATAACCCAGTTAATTTGTATTGCTTTTAACTATAAATTTTGGAAATTTGTAACTACTTTTTGTGTAGATATGGCAACATTGTATTCAATCTTTGTTTTCTTTTTCAGATCCAACAATTGACAGTGCGATCCGTTATTGAAGCTACTTTTTAAAAAATCTTGAAAAGAAATACTTGACAGAAAATTTTTGTCATTACCAATTAAATATCTGTTTATAGTGAATTTTTTGAGGTATTAAAGTTTCCAAAGATTGCCTTATATAGTTTTCATCCGCTTCTACCACAAGTTTGCAATATACATGCTCCCAAAAGTGCTCAAACATTTTTCGTTATCAATATCGGGAAGATCATTTTCCACATGAAATGGAAAAATCAGTGTAATTCAAATTCTTATTATCTCTGCAAAATTAAATGGTAAAAAATTTCCTAAAAACTTTTATTCCTGTACTTTTTTTCTAAAATGCCTCCTTGTGGAGTTGCAGCCAATTTTTAACCATTCTAATGCATATAACTCCTCAAAAATGCATTTTAGAGAAAAAAATGCAAACAGTTTTTACTTTAATCCAGTTAATACGCAAACAATAAAGAAAAAACGATCTGGAACAATGGTATCAAGAAAGATAGGACGTTTAACTTCCTTTCCGTTAATAACAACCCCTGTAGCACTGTTGCCATCGCTTTTGGAACGCTTGTGATGAATTTGCACAGGTTTACGGATGTCTCTTTTAAGAAACAGCTATATTTTCCTTGGATTTTCCTTGGAATATCAAATTTGTTAGATATAGACTCCTCAATATAACTTTCTGCTACAGAGAAGCTCTTCCGTCCACCCTGCCGTTTGATGGTTGTAAAATCAGCACTTTTATTGGCCAATAAAGTTTTGAAGTGCGCCTCATACAATGGCCAGTATATGCTTCTGGATTTGCAATATTCAGGAATGGAGCAACTATTGTCGGTACCTTCGCCAATCTGTTGATTCCAACAAGCTGAGAAGTACATTTTTATTGATATATCTTAAAAAGAACCTGTCTTGTGTAAGGCGAATTGGGCTCAGAATATTCTCTGCATATTTCAATAGCATTCACGCAACAATCCTTCTTCTATAATTGTAAATTTGAAATGTCCGTCTTGGTGTTAGGTATTGAAACAAGTAGGTAACTGCCAACGTCCTGTATGTCACTAATTTTCAATTTTGTCAATTCGCAGCATCAACAGGCACCAGAAGCCCCCATTATTAGGGCAACCTAAAACAATTCAAAGTTTACTATATTCCTAACATGTAAAAGGTAAAGAGATATTACCTTAATCATTAAATATTCTTTATCGGAAGCCCCAGTCAAAAATTCTTCAATATGTGCTCTTTCCAATACTGCAGCTTTTTTTGCTTTAAATCCTCTCGATTCACTCTTCAGATAAGCAGTATGCAGATTTCCACTGGTTTTCACGTATTTTTTGAAGTTCTGCAACTGTTCAGATATTTTTGAACAAATGTAATATTTTTTTAATTTCAACACGATGTATCTCGACATTTGGTATAATTCATTATGCCTTTACTCGCCCTCGATATATAGATAAACGCGTATTCCAGTCAAAATAATGGGTTTTTTATGTAGATGCGAAAAAAATACATTTCAATATTTTATCACAAGTAACACTTTCAATTAGCCACTATAAAACAGTTTTATCTATTTTATCATTAATAAGATTATATTTAATGACAGGATGATATTCTCTTATAGAAAAATAGCTGTATCATCTTGGACACAAACAACAAATTGAGTTAAATATTATTATTTCACAACATGACGTAATCTAATCCTAAATAATTATCCCCACCTCCATAGTTTTAGCTCGTACAGTGTTACATAAATAAAAGCAAAGTATACATTTCTGTTCAGTGACTTGCAGGATACTTGTAACATTCCTTCTACAATGGTGCTGTCCATGGATCGTTGGATCGGTAAGGTGGCCGTAGTTACTGGAGCTAGTTCCGGTATCGGAGCTGCTATCGCAGAGGCGTTGGTCGAAAAAGGACTTAAGGTACGTTTATAATATTTCAACATACGAATTTACAACCTTGAAAAAATATCTAATCGTTTGTTTAGTAATGTTTGTAATTGGTGTGAACAAAAAAATAATATCTCATTGTGGTGAAATTGTTTAATTATATTATAAAAGCGCTGTATCATGTTTAATAGCTTGAGAATGACTATTTCTTCGTATTTAGTAAGTATCGTTTTCTGCAATAGTATCACAATGTTTTATAGCATATTATTGTCTTTAATTACTTTTTAGAACATCAAAAAAATTTGAAGATCAATATCAATCTTTATTATTTTTTAAGATATTGATATCAAAATCATTTGTACATCTATGTGCCCCGATACATTTTTAGGTACGTTTTCTGAAGTATGTTCTTATTTATTCAGCGATATCTGTATTCTGATTAATCTGCTGATACTACGTATCTTTAAAACCACATCGTATTCAGATAAGAAAAAAATTCTTAAATTTGGGCAACGGAAAGCACCATTATTGACGACAAAAGTTCAAGAAATCATTTTCATTCAAAATAATATTTATATTTCAAAATTGAAAAATAAATTTTTAACTTTAACACTACGCCAAATCAATATTACGAAATTACTTCACTTTCTAATACCGATCAACATAGGGGAATCAAAAATTTGTCACTAGAGAGAGGTGGTAGTTCAAAAGATAATACATTATAATTTGATGTACGTTTAACATGGTTTATTTGTCAATAAAAATTATAATTTTAACATTGTTGTAAAGAATAAAATTACTCATACACTAAATTTAAAGTATACATACAATATAAAACATTAGCCACATATTGTTTTGAAGGTAATATCGTATCTAGGCCGAAATTTTTTTAGCCACCCATTCGATGTGTTGAAGTCGCTTAGTCCTAAGTTTTAAGCAACTTCAAGGGCTTTTGCTTGAATTATTGGTTTTAGAAAATGTTCTTTTTTGCTCAGTGTTGCCACCTTGTTGACAGACATTTTTAACTTCCTTATTTTGTAGTAATATTGTCACTTGAGTTTTGCCTACTTGAAATTTTTCAGCCAATTTCCCAGTAATCAAACCATTTTTCGCACTTTCGTTGATAGCATCAATTTTTTCTTTAAAAATGTGTGATTATATGTACCTTAACACCTAAATATTCAGGATAGCACTAAAATTAAAACCAGATTCCCTTGGATTAAGAAGGATTTAATGGGAGGAGTTTTAGCATTGTTGTGTCTGGTGGAAAATCCAGTAGATTGATGCTCGCGGTCCTTTAAGAGAAGGCTCCTTATTGGGGGGTTCAAAAACAACTCTTTTCATTTGTAAATTCAGAGAATTCAAAATCGGTCGTTATGTAGAAGTGGTCGCCTGACACAGGTGGTCACTAACAGAGGTTTTACTGTCCTATACAGGGTGACATAGAAAAAAGTACATTGCATAGTGTTATACAATAAAGGACACTAAAACAAGAAAAAAAGTTCCTATGAACATGGGTCCGCAAGGCCTTCGGTTAAAGGATACGGGGTGTTGAATTTTAATTTTTTTTTTATTTGCAATAACATTGATAAATACTTCAACAATTAAATTTTAATGGTATGATGAAAAATATGATTAATTAAAACAAAACATTAAGTTTTTCAGAAGATGTTCAAATTGTTGCCCTTGTACTTCAATACATTTTTCCATTCTTCTTCTTAATGATTGACGGCATCTTTGAAATATTCCTAGGTTATTATGAAATCTATCTGCCGATTCCATAATTCTTATCCATAATTGTTCTTCATTATGTATTTCTACAGCATAAACTTCATTTTTCATAAATCCCCAAAATGAAAAATCTAGGGGATTAAGGTCGGGACTACGAGCTGGCCAGGGTACAGGCCCCCTTCGACCAATCCACCTATTTCCAAATCTCCTGTCCAAATATTCTCTGGCCACTCGAGAAAAGTGAGCTGGCGCCCCATCATGCATGTAATACATTCTTCCAATAATGGCCAATGGGAAATCCTCTAATAATGTGTTTAAATCATTCTCCAAGAAATTTCGATAAACTGCACCTGTCAATCGATTGGGCAATCGAAATGGGCCAATTAAGTAATTGTCGATTATACCTGCCCACACATTAATAGAAAACCCATATTGGTGACTCCGAATTATAGTTTGATGAGGATTTTCATCACTCCAATGGTGCATGTTATGTAGGTTCAGAATACCATCACGACTAACACTAGCTTCGTCAGTAAACAAAATTGATGAAATAATGTTTTCTCTTTGGTTTTGAAACCATTCGCAAAATTGTACACGAGGAACAAAGTCATGTTCCAATAGTGAATGAATTTTTTGGAAATGATATGGGCGAAGAAGTTGTTCTTTGAAAATTTGTCTAACTGATTCACGGTTAAGGTTTCGCACCGCTGAACTTGTTTTCCTGGTGCTTGTTCTCGGATTATTTTCTACCATTCGTAAAACAGTTTCTTCGTTTCGCACAGTGCGACCAGTTCTGGAAACCCCACTATTCAATTTTGGTTTTCTAAAACAGCCATCTTCTCCCAAACGCCTATGCACATCAATAAATGTTCGAACATTAGGAACTTGTCTTAAAAGATATCTTTCTCGATAGATACGTTGAGCTTCGTAAGAATTTGATCTAGCTTCGCCGTAACACATAATCATGTCCCTGTATTCTTCAAAAGTGTAGCGAACCATTTTTGAAAGCAATTTTGAATAATCAGTGAGAAAACCAATGAAAAACTTAATCAAGAACACAAAATACCTCTAACAATTATTATATTAGTTTGACAAGTGTCATTATGACACATTATTTAATTGTTATTTATCATTGTTTTTGCAAATGTTACTTTGGCGCTTTTTGAATAATTTGCGTGCATTGTCGGCTTTTGTACTGGAACCATTGCTTCTAGCGACTTGGACAAGGTATACCTTTCTTACGTATAAAGAAGGGATAACAAATTTTTTTCAGTCGAAAATGACATACAGTGTATAGCAAAAAAGTTAGGACCGATTCAATAGATATGGAACCCTGTATGTAGCGCCCTCTATCAGTAATCACAAAACTAAGATCATATTTGAATTTAGCATGATAAAAAAAAAACTGTATACCACATTTTATCCATTTCTTGCGTCTCTGGCTAAAGATATTAAAAAAAAACCCAAACAAAAATAAAATTCAACACCCCGTATCTTTTAACCGAAGGCCTTGCAGACCCATGTTCATAGGAACTTTTTTTCTTATTTTAGTGTCCTCTATTGTGTGGCACTATGCAATGTACTCTTTTCTATGTCACCCTGTATACGTTACACAGAATGGGACAAGATCCCTTTTTGAGCTATTTGAAATACTCCTTCAGACGCATGCAACTTATTTTAAAATAGCACTAGAATGATTTTTATAATCTTTCTGTATCTCCCACAGGGAAGAAAAATACTATTTTTCCAAGAGATTTCCACGGTGTATTATCTGAAGATCTATACTAGGTTTCATTTGGTTATCAAAGACACATATATTAAAAAAAACAACTCTATTGTGATATTATGAAATATTTCTTAGATTAAGTTTTGTAATAATTCATTTTTAAAAAGGTTGCAGCACTGGCACGAAGAAAAGACCGTTTGGAGGCTTTGGCCAAAAAGCTCTCTGGCAAGAAAGGTAAACTATACCCCGTCAAGACGGACGTAAGCAAAGAAGAAGACATTTTGAACGCCTTTAAGTGGATTAAAGAAAACCTGGGTCCAGTACACATTCTGGTCAACAATGCTGGTGTCGGTGGCCACACGACTCTTGCAGACGGAGACACTGAAATTTGGAAAAACATCATCAACGTCAACGTCCTCGGTTTGTCCATAGCTACGAGGGAAGCCATAAGGGATATGAAAGCCAACAACGTGGACGGTCACATAATACACATCAACAGTATCGCCGGGCACCAAGTTATCGATTTCCCAGGACTGAACGTATATCCCGCCAGTAAATTCGCAGTGACAGCCTTGGCAGAGACTTTGAGACTGGAACTTCTCAATTCGAAGTCAAAAATAAAGATTACGGTAATATTATTGATCTATTTATTTATTCAAATCGTAGAAGCAAAACAAACGAACGGTTTACAGTATAAGCATAAAACAATTATTATAACATTTTTATTAATGACTAGCAACCCGCCCCGGCTTCGCACGAACAAATATAAAATAGCCTATGTTACTCCTAGGAGACGTAGCTTTCGGTAAAATTGGTTGAGTAGTTTTTGAGTTAAATCGTAACAAACAAAAAATCAATCATCTTTCATCTAATGCGACCCTAATATTAATATTTTAAAATAATTCACGATATATCTATATACCTAAAGACAACAAACGAACTCAAAACTAAAAATAACAAAACCTTTAAATTTAAAACAATATAGTTAACTATCAACAATGTGAAAACAAAACGAATTAAATTAAAGTACCTGTGTTCAGGACTATCAATTTTAATTAATAAGGAAGTAGTTAGGTATCTAACTACCTAAAGAAAACAAACACGAAACAAAAATGCGACTATGAAGTTTTAAATGATTCACAATAAGAAAAAAACAAACAAATTATTAAAACTCAATGAAATAAAAGTATGTTTGCAAGTATCTATTTATGTTCCGACTACCTAAAGACAACAAATACAAAACAAAAATGTGACCTTAAAATATCGAACGCAATTATAACTTTCCAACAACACCCAAAAAGAAAACACAGTCGTCAGTCGTCACCTCCATTCGCTCCAGGTCAGTTTATTAAAGGATCACGCGCGCGTTATCGTTCGGCTTATTAGCTAAACAGTAGGCAAGACGGTGCGGGGGGGGGGTCGGCGATCGCATCAAGCGAAGCGAGGCGCTTGAATTTGATTCTCGCGTCCGTAATTTTTTTTGCGATTACTCCTATGATATTCATTTAAATTATATGGTGTAAAAAAGTAAAATAATGTGCATGAAATGCTTAAAGTCTCTAACTTATTTAAAATGATACCGTATTTGTGTAAATAGCTTTTACATTACCGCTTTATAATTGCCAATTTTTTAAAGTATTAAAATGGATATAGGTGTTTAATATAAGTTAATATTTGTCATGTTTAATTAAACACGCTGTATAATACAACTTGCGTGCCAGCGTGGATGCATATGAGCCAAGTGCGCAGGCGCTGGAAGCAAGTCTGCCTTCCTGCGCGGAGGCGATCAGAAATCAGAATGTTATGTTAAGTTATAGCAACAGGTTGGTGTTGCTCGCTATGTATACAGTCCACTCAGAATATTTATATTTTATGAAAAAGTCGAAGTAAAGTAGTAAATACAAATAAATGACAATTTTATTTGGCTCCAACAATAGGTAGTATGTTATCTTTAACATATAGACATATGCCATCGCAGACCTTTTTGTAGGCATATAAAAGATACACAATTCCACCATACATTGATATACTACATAAACTTTCGAATCACGGTGACACTAAATTAATTTCGTTGCGCATTATTTTGATTTTGCTATATCTCCTAAGGTATTCATTTAATTTGCATGGTGGAAAGGGAAAAATAATCTTCATGAAATGCTCAAGCCAACTAACGTATTTAAAATGATAAGGATTAATACCGTATTTGTGTAAATAGCTTTCTAATTACCGCTTTATAATTGCCCATTTTTTAAAGTATTACAATCGCGGACTTTTCTGTAGACCTATATAAGATACACAATACCACCATTTTGTTATATCTGAAAGGGTTTAGGCAGCGTTTTCGTTGAAAGCTCCCAGACGGCTTATTTTTTCCGACACCTTCAACAAACATCGTTAATGTATACAAAAATTTAACAAATTATATACTAAAACCTTCCTCTAGAACCACTCTATCCATTGGTGAAAACAGCATGAAAATCGGTGCAATAGTTTTTGAGTTTATCGCGAATAGACAGACAGACAGACGCGGCGGAGGACTTTGTCGTATAATATGTAGTGATTCAGTGTGAGCAGTTTGAATATCGACATATGGGGGTGTTCAAATTTAACTAGATATCTTTATTGAATATTAAAGTGAACATGTTGCAGGTTTATAATGGAAGGGATTGTCAGATAAATGAATGACCACCCCTTGCAGCTCTACAAGCCTTCTTTCCTTTACCAAAAGTTTCCATTACGTGATCATATAAAGTGATTCAATTTGGGTGATTTGCCCAATTATGTTTTCTTTCAGATGAGGATTGTCAGCTTTTCACATGATCTTGGGGGTCAACTAACATCTCAGTAAATCATCTCTTCCGGTTCCTGTTATACAGGGTACTTCCTAAGTAATCTAATATATCTCACAGGGCTCGTTTCAAACTGTTTATAAAAGTTTATATTAATAATCCAATCACCAGGGGCGTGCGTGTAGGCAATTATTTAAAAAAGGAACATGCACTTCACTGCAGATTTTTAATTTTATGATTTTTTTGTAATCTTCATTTATTACCTGACATAAAATGCCTCTTAGAGCTTTTTCATATGAAGCCTTGTTTTGGAAAAATATGCTGTTTTATTCATTTATTGCTCATACATTACTTTATTATTTTTGATAAAATTTTTCTCCGGAATAAGCTCCAAATCAATATATACGGATTTTGTCAGGTAATCGACGGAAATTGCATTAATGTCTGTTTTAGACTGTTTATCTGCAGAATTGGATATTTTCGCTTACATCTTCTCTCCCTCCAATTCAGTTTCCTTAAAAAGACTATTCTCCTCTCAGAAGTATATTTTTACCTAAAAATACTTTCTAATTCTTTTAAGAAAACTGAAAATTTGTTGTAAACAAAATTGTGCAAATTGCATCGTATAATAATCAGTTTTAGTTAATATTTCCTAGGTGTGTTTTACTTATAATATGTAAGGCTGTCAGAACAGAGCCCCGGGACATAGACGTACGCATTATTTATTAAAAAGCAACAAATTAAATTGTCTACATTACACCACCATAAACGCCAACGGATAGCACGATAACAAAGACAACAGTATACTAACGTGAACGTGAAAAGCATTATGAGGCAGCGGCAGCCCTAGTAATGTGACTTTTGGAACATATACTGATGATAACTTTTTTTACCATTTTGATATAAGTTTGGTTCGAGACACTGTATAATAGTGTGCCTAGAAACAACATTTTAATATTTTTTATGAATTTTTTAGAACCTCAGTCCTGGACCTGTAGACACGGAAATAATACCAGACAGTTTCAGGAACACCGAGCAATTTAAAGGGTATATTCAAGACAAAATGATAATCGAACCTGAGAATATTGCCGATGCCACTATTTACGCCCTGTCAACCCCCCCACATGTACAGGTAACATTTTTTTAAAAGCTTTTTACAAGCTTTTATTTATTACAAGGTTTCTTTTTCTTTGTTAGTATGAGTCAAATCTTGCAAATGAATTTTAAAACAGTTAAAACCGATTGAGCTGAAATTTTTCATACACGTTTATGTAGTTTGGATGACAATGCATGGTTAGGTAAGTGACGTCATTCTAAATCCAATATGGCGGACTTCCAAAGATAACGGGCCAGTTTATTTTTATGCACCCCCATGTTATGGGTATCAAGTGAAAGGATTTGCTGAGTAGAATACGAAAATAAAATGACGTCACTAAAAGCTTGATTAAAAAATATATATATACATGAACTTATCAACTTTAACGATTCACAATGCTGTGTTAAGTTCTAATTAAACCTTCGATTTGATGGTGGATATCAAAATTCGTGATTTAGAGTTTTTGGATCATCATATTTACGATATTCAGATATAAGTTATCTACTATTGCATTTCGGATATCGTATTTAAATATTCGTTGTGTACCTACGTATGAGAACATTGTATTAAATCTTTATTTTTTTTCAGATTCAAGAACTGACAGTACGAGCCGTTATTGAACCAACATTTAAATGAGAATGAAAATAAATACTTGTAAGATTAAATTTCAGGTTATTTGCAGTGTATTATCAATTTGTTTTTGTGAATTATTCAGGAATTAAAGTTACTAACAATTGTCGTGTTTTCTATATTTACTCTACCCGAACAAAACTTTGATAATCAATATAAAAAAAAAAACGTTTTGTACGTAAAATAGAAGAACAATAGAAAGCAATATCCAAACTCTATTTTCACAAGAGACGACGCCAAATTGACAAATTATTTTTAATCTTATAGGAATTAGAGAACTAAAAAAGTGTTTTTAATAAAATATTCACCTCAATGACTTAGAATACTGTGGTACTTTTGTCATAAGCCATTACTCTAAATCTTTTATAACAATTCTGCACTTTCATAAGTTATCTTTAATATATTTGAAGGTGGCCATATTCCTGGCCGAGAAATAGTGAAATTTCTGGCGTTTTTAGGTACTGAAATCTTTAAAAGTAAAACGTGTAGAACAAACGTAAGGACAAAAATAAAATCCTTGATGTTTTGTTTATTCATTGTTACCATTTAAATTTACTCAAATAAAATAATAACTAAAAAAAA